TCAGCAACTAGAGCAGTGTTTCCGCTGCCGCTTTAGCCTTAAACTCATTAATATACATAAGCTGCAGGATCCTTTCAGTTGACCTAGTTACATATCTACCTGTTGGAGGGCAGAAAGTCAGAGAAGAAAGCTTGTTTTTACACACACACACCTCTTTTTTTCTGGAGAAAAAACGGACCGGAACTCTTGGATTATGTTTCCCTGTGCATATAAGGTGATTAAATTACAATGAAAAGTATCAAAAGAGTGGATAAACACTAATCTAATCTAACCCATTAGATATAACTCAGGTATTTGATAGTTAAAGATGTTCCAAAGCTGCATCGTGTTTTCATTGGCTTTGTTTTTCTGGCTTCATTCTTTGCTTTGCGTAGCTGCTGCCGAATGTGAAGCATTAACCGGGCGTATTTCGACCGGGTGTATGTTGTCGGGTCTGACTGAGTAAGATGGGCCAAATATTGCAAGCAACAGCTGCGCTGAGGCAGTGTTGCTCAACTTGACCTTGATGGAGTCAAAATACGATTCCGCTCTGAAAAGCCCATTCACATTCAGGTGAAGACGCAGGTATAGTGTCAAGTGATGTTTTTGATGGTAACAATTCTTCCGGGACCTTTCTGTCATGCAGTCCACCAATCATTTGACTCATTCAGTCAAGGCATTCTGGCCAAATTTCATGCTTCTTTCTCATCAAATTTCAAACAACTTTCTTGGTAAATGTGGATGGCAAACTGCATCTTTTAGCCCTTGCTCGGGGTCTTAGTATTTAGGTGAATTTTGGTAAATCACATTCTTAATTATCCTGCAGTCTTTTTGCAATGGATGCCTTTAGATAGCTTTTGGATAGATTGGAGGTTCATTTTTTATCCTTTTACTGGAGGATAATGCCTTTGAATGTTTCTGACACATTGATGACATTTTCATAATACGGTCCGTGACTTTCCTTTCTGTCCTCAAATATTTTAACAATATTTTCTCTCCTTTTACTGTCTTCATATAAAGCCATGTCATCTTGTAAATCTAGGCTCAGTTCCAACCATTCTTGGAAGGCATCACACATCACTCCAAAGTCCACTAAATTTTGACTGATCTTCCTTTGTAAACCATCCATCATGGATCTCTATTTTTCATCTCTGTTGCAATCACTTTTAGCTTCAAGAAAATGAAGCACCAAGGTTTCAAAACCTTCCCAAATGAAATACGCTGATCTACAATGGGAAACTATCCACATTATACTTAACACTTTTTCAGTAGTTAACAATTTTAGTTCAAGAATCTTTGCACCTCCATCTAGATCTCTAGTATTTTGGGGTGCGGTGGAGCATGGTCCAAAACATACAAGCTGTCAGTCAAAGATCTGAATTGGCTGATTCCAGAGACAACATGTGCAGCTGATGTTTCAAGTCAATGATTGGCTCGGTGCCACATGGTAACAGAGAAATACCTATATTTCAACCATGTCCTGCCTCCAGAATGATTTCTTAATATTACAGCAGCAAAGATCACAAGCTGCAAAAATCAAACGTTCATTCAGATGCTTCTCTGTCATTCCTAAAAAATGGAGATGTTGGAGGAATGAGTTGAAAATTCCTCTTTGCTGCGCTAAGAAACAAACTTACAGGAGAACTCATTGCACAGTGTGGGACAAGAACTTGTGCATAGATAATCAGTGAACTTTTTAAAAAATCAATGGTAGTTGATTCTTCAGTGATTGAGGAGATCCTGCCATTAAACTTCACAATTCTTTTGAACAAGCTATTTCTCATTTCACTAGCTATCTGAGTGACACTGTTGCTGCAGGCATTAGTGAAGTATACAATTCATATCAATACCATTCAGCTCTTGCTGCTTCATCTTCAACGTTATTAAGACTGATTATTTTTGGCTGCTTTTTATGCTGTGGAAATACCTTAGCTGTGATATCCTTTCCAAGAGCGATGGATTCCATGCATACTTAAAAATTCTCCACGGTGGCACTCCAGTTATGGAATTCGCTCCCCAGAGAGGTTCACCTGGCATCGACAGTAGATAAATTCATGGAGAAAGCGATCAGTGGCAACCAAGTCTTTATGGCTATATGCTACCAGGAGCTTCTGAAGCCGCATGCATGAGTACACCAGTTGTTGGGGAACATGGGGAAGAGAGTGTTGTTGAACCTATGCCCTGCATAGGGGTTTTGTCTGGGCAGCTGGCTGCTCACTGTGTAAACAGAATGCTGCACTGGATAGACTCTTGGTCTGATCCTGCAGGGCTCTCCTTACGTTCATTTGTGGCCCAGTCTTGGTATTTTCTGCAGCAGCCTTCCCCAACCTGGTGGCCTTCAGAGGCATTTGGATCACAACTCCCAACATTCCCATCCAGCAGAGCCACTGACTGCATTCCAGGGAAGGCACAAGGTTAGGGAAGGGGATTCTACACCAACAAATCCAAGCTTAGGAGAGAGTATTTTCCTTTCCACAAATGGGAAAGGACTGTATGGTGTTAAGGTTGATTTGCAAAATGTGCCATGAATATGTTCAAGAATGACTATTGCAATTTTATCTCACCCCTTTTCTTCTTGCAAGGAACCCAAGCTGTCTTACTTCTCTCCATTTTATCCCATTAGGTTGAGTCAGTGATCACCCAAAGCTTCCCAGTGAATTTCATGGCCAAATGGGGGCTCCAACCATGATCTCCTGAATCCCAGTCCAACATTAATTACATCATGTTGGCACGATTATGAGCTGGACCATCTAGGGATTAACAAAGCCAAAAAGAAAATGTGCCCTTTTATGTGTGTCTTTTTCTAAGTTTACAAAATTGACTGTTTCATTTAAGTAAAAGTCTTAGTAAAAGAACTTTTCCCCTATCTAAATATACATAGAGTTGCATCTTTAAGAATTTAACTGTCTTATAGTCCTAGACGTATTTCTCTGGACTTAGCAGCACTTTTGAGCTTTCTGTCTCTGGAGTGAAAAGCATTTTTGTTGAACTCACATGCAGCTTCTCTTCATTCAATAAGGTTATATTAATACATTTGCAGTTGCCTTCCATATAAAAAAAGACAAACTGTGAATACAGATTTCAAGTTAAGCACCAAAGAAATTACTTTGTCTATTGCAGTAGTTCCTTTGAGGGAGGGCTTAATACATATCATTACCAAGCCCTCCAATGAAATGGGACAAAACAAAACCAAAAAACAAACAAACAACTCCTCCATCTTTGGGTTAAGTTTTATTTTTATACTAAACATTTCCTGTATTTATAGAACACTTAAACGTACGTCTATATGTAAGTTATTCCAACTTCAGATGCTGTATTGAAACATAAGATTATGGGCACAAGCCCAGCAACATTTATTTGGATGGGATAGACTTGTGTACACATTTAAACTCATCTATTTTCCAGAGAAACTTGCAGCTGAATTATGTCATTTCGTTGATAGTCTAATCCTGACCATGTATTTGGGAAATAAACATCAATGGGACTAACTGGCCATATTTAAATATTGCTTTCAAAGTGACAGCAAATTAGTTTGTTGGATTAAGAAATGTTTATGCAGTTTGACACTTTATACATAACATACATAGGCACTCTTGAAGCAAGCAGCATTTAATCATTGACACTTTCGTGGAAAACATGGCCCCTACAAAAATCAACACAGGCTCATCTGAATTTTTTTCTTAGTTGATCAATCAAACTTCTTCGGTCTGGATCTTCCTTGCTTCTAAGACCTCCTAACTTCCTCTGCTTATGCCGAGGGTGCGTTTTACAAAGTATAAACAAATTGCCACGCCTGCGGACAAAGAAACAGTCCTTGCAGCGTCTTCGGAGGACCACCTTGCATTTCATTCCAGCAACTGGCTGCAAGTTGACCGGCGGGAGATCTGCGAGAAAGGGCTGCAAATCCACGCGATGCAGCTTGGTGGCCGTTAAGGCGAGCGATGGGCTACCAAGGCTTGAGCGTCCCAGAAGCCACGAGGAGAACAAGCGGGGAGCCGAGCAGCAGTTCAGGAACGACACTGACTTGACTGCAGCAGCCACTGCATTCCGCATTAGAAGAGAGGCCATGGTGCACAGGCTTTGGGGGGGTGGGGAGAGAAAAGAAAATGAGTAAGTCAACTAAATAAAGGCAATAATCTGATACATAGATCCAATCTGTTGCAAAATGACCTACAATTCAGGCCCGTTAAGGGCGGTCTATTGTTAGATTTATACCCCACTTTTTTCTTACAAAGAACTCAAAGCGGATTACATCATTCTCTTCTCTTCCTCCTGCTCTTACTCACTCACCCCCACAATAAAACCCTGTGAGGCAGGTTGGGCTGAGATTCTGTGTCTGGCTCCAAGTCACCAGCTGGCTCCCTGGCTGAGCGGCGACTGCAGCCCAGATCGCCCGAGGCTTAACCACTGCACCACCCTGGCTCTCAAATGGCTTCTACGCAAGGCTGCAATCCTGTGCCACCCTTACGTGGGCCTGACTTCTACGGAACTCAGTAGCATTTACGCCCGCAACAAGTGCAAAGGCTGGCGCAGGCATCTTTTCCGCTCCTTGGGAGAAGGATCCGGCAAAATCATCGCAAGGCGCTAAGCGAAGTGGCCCGTGCAACAGACTCTGGGCAAAGGGCGCATGCGCGCTCAGCCATAACGCACCCCTCCCCCATGAGCCTCAGTGCATGCGCACGCGCAGTACCTCGCTCGTGCCGTCCGGAACGTTAAGGCCAAGGCGCGGATTAGGCCGCTTCAGGTCCCGTCACTGAACCCCCCCGGCGGTTCGCTCCCCCGACCGCGGGGGCTTCCTGGCAGCCGCCACGGAGAGAAACGGAGCGCGCCTGCAGACTCACTTTGCCCCGCGGCGGGCCAAAGGACGCCCGCGGCAGCGCAAGGCGGGCACGGGATCTCCTCCGACGCGCTCTCCGGCGTCGCGGCGTCGCGCCTCTCCTGACGTCACGCGTCGGGGTGGGGTTTGGGTGCCGCTCGAGCGTGCGCGCGTGCGCGGAGGCGCCCCGTGCGTGCGCGGGCGGCGCTGGGGCAGCGTCCGACATGGCGGCGGCCGCGCTACCCTTGCGGAGGGCCTTCCGGGCAGGCCTGGCCGTGGCGAGGGGCGGCGGGCCCGCGCTGGGGAGGCGCTACGGCGTGGTGACGTCCCCGACGGGCGAGAAGGTGACGCACACGGGGCAGGTGAGCCCGGCCGGCAGCGCGCTTCCCGGGCTGCTGCGGCCCTTGGTCCGCTCCCCAGGCTGGCTCTGTCTGTAGGGCTGCTCGCGTGTGACCTCCGTTATTATTCAAAATAATAATGTTAAGAATGTTGCACTGCACGTATATCCCCCCTGAAGCGGCTTATCAGCGCCTCCGCTCCGTTTGTTCTCACAAGAACAACAACCCCGCGAGGTAGACCAGGCAGAAGGCCTGTGACTGGAACAAAGCCGACGAGGGAGTTTTCCTGGGTGAAGCAGGAGTCGGATCTCGACCTCCCGGCTGGAGTCCCGGTCCCACACTCTCAGTGCCACACCCGCGTTCGATTTTATCTACTGGTTTTGCCGCATTTATACCTATTTTTTTTCTGTCAGGGCATTCAGCGTGGCTTAAATATAAAGAGGCCGGACCTAAGCAGCAGAAGGGGCTCAGGCTATGGGTGGTGTCTGCAACAGAAGTTGCTGTTAATGCTGGTGTAGGCTTTCTTTTGTGGATTTGGATAAAATTGGCATGGTGCTTTAAAAAGGAGATTTTTTTTATAACTGGCATAAACAAGGCAGTGTTAAATACTTGCAAGCTTCACTTTATGCAGTGGTAAAATTGTGCATATCCTTGAGTAACCACAGTGGGATTTTAAACAGTATTACTTTGGTTTGTGTGCTTTATCCTTTGTCTTTTATCAGTATATGCCAGTGTGCCACTTCTGAGTTTGCAGAACTTCCAGCATGGCTAGCATAGGAAAAAGAAGTTCAAGATATGTTCCCAGTGTTTAAAAGAAAAGGGATTGCTGCAAGTGGAAACTGTTGCATCCTAAAAACAGGTAGATTTGATGACAAAGGGTCATGTTTGGTGCAAGGCAAGTCTCGTATCGGAAGGCATCCTACATATGGGGTACTGTCGAGGGAGAAACCATGTGGCGTGCATAGATTGTTGGTTTGGGACTTGAGAATAATTAGGTTCCATTCTCCATTCAGCTATGAGACTCACTGGGTAGCTTTGGCCCTACTTCATAGAACTGTGAAGAGAGAGGGACTTAGTTAAACTACCTTGGGTTCCTTGCAGGAGAAAAAAAGGCTAGTTAACTTATGAATTAAGGAGGAGTTGAAAGAAGTTGATTGCTTATGAAATCAGCATGACCATCCTACTGAATTCAGTAACTGTGTTTTGGAGTAGGCTGTGAGTAGAGTGACTTACCTGACATGAAACCATGCTTTTTAGTTTGCTTTTACTATATTTTAAAATATGAAGGCTGTAAAATGGAAGTAACTGAATTACTACATTCAAACATTTCCTTTGTCTTCTCCTCATTCTCCCTAGGAAACATTTGGATGTGATAATTAGTGATAATTTAGTTCACTCCATTTTTCAGAGGAAATACTGAAAAGGCAGGGAAGAAATGTTACTAAATAGTTTCCTTATTTTGGAAGGTGAAACTGTATTAATTGGTCACAGGGATCTCCACTTCAGTGTCTGTTTTTTTATAGAGAATGAGCCTATTCTGTTTCAGTATGATGTTAGGACTTGATGTTGCTTTTAGCCATAAACCTATAATGTTCCTTTTTGTGGTTTCAACTTTACATGTTTTGGCTATCTGTTAAAGTGCAAAACATAGATACATCTGGTTTTTTGGTAACTGTTTTCTGAATTGCAGCAAAAACAATGTTTGCTTGTTTAGTCTGCAGATAGACTGATTATTGTTTTATCTGATAGGCTGCAACATCATATGTGTCAAATTCTTGTTTGTCCCCCCCACCCTTTTTGCTTTCTAATCTTTGATCTTAAATTACAAAAGTCAGTGAAAAAATTTCCAATCTGTATAGAGCACAATAAAGCAAGATAGTGACCCCCAGCCCAATCTTGATATTTGTTAATCCAAAATGCAACAAAATCATTTTCTTTATCATGTTCTCTGCATTTGCTTCCTATGATTTCCCAAGAGGCATGCTAATTTTAACATAACTGCAATGTGCCATATTTTAAATACGAATAAGAAAATAAAGGAATATTTCCCAATAACTTGAAATTCAAATCTTTGCTGCAATTAAGTGGGCTAACTACTGGTTTGAAATCTATCTTTATCACTTCATCTTCTAGGTAGCATAATAAAAGCACTGTAAGACAGTAGACATGTTGTGAGTGAAGCTGGCTAGAGCCAGGAGTCAGAGTAGATGGCCTGGGAGGCCCCTTCTGACTTGCTCTGTTTCTGTTTCTATAACCTACTAAGGGATCTCCTGTTCATTACTCAATCAGTCTTCACTATCTTTTATTAACTGGACAAATCTAAAGGTATGAGAAATGCTAGCAGGCAAGGTAGAATACCCACAGAAGTATCTTTTCAAAGAAGATATAAGTGACATAAAAACTAGTTAAAATTTTAGGTTGTAACTCAAACAAAACAGTCAAACTGGAATATTTGTCTAAATCTAGTGCCATTCATGCTGTAGAATGTGGTGGCCTAAAACTCTTTCCCATTTATTGTAGGATATATTTCATGCCAGTTCTCTTGAACTGTGTAGCTTCAGAATATCTGGAAATGTGTGTAAACTTGCTGGCCTGTTCTTTGCCAGTTTTTTCTTCAACCCCTACTCCAAACTCAATCAGAATCAAAATTTTTTCCTTTTGTGATTGATATATCCCTACTTTTATTTCAGGTTTATGAGGAGAATGACTACAGGCGGGTTCGATTTGTTGGGCGACAGAAAGAGGTAAAATTGATATCTGGAAGTGCTGATATCTGGTGGGGAACTGCAGAGGGAGTGGGTGAGATTGGGCTGAGGTAGCTACCACTGTAACAGTCTACAGAATTGACAAAAACAATTAAATTTTAAAGTATAGTTTGTATTATGTAGCCTGCAGGCCTGCTGTGTAGCTTGTAGCTCTTTGGACTCTCTTCCTGTTAGGATAATAGCAATTTACAATACCATACCATAGCACATCAATAAGAACAAAGAGGAAAAACGTATAGTACAAATAGAATCATACCAATCTAAACAATTAGGAATTTATGTAATACCGAACACAAAAGGTGCACCTCCACACTGGAACCTTTGGCTACGTGATAAATATTTATTCCTATCACACTCCTACTTTTCTTCTTTGTTGCTTCCCCTCTCTTAGGCAGACCGCTTCCCCATCCAAAATCGAATTGAATCATATGAAGGTGTAATACCCTTCCCCTTTATTAATACGTATTCAGTGAACAACCCCTGAATGTCATTCAAATTATTCTTATTTGTCGGCCTTTTTTACCTGAATACTACAGCTACACATTAACTTGTCATTAACAGCTATTTTCTGAATTTCCTTACACTATTCACTTAGTTGGACATCACGATTTTCCATCCAGTTCTTTACTATTACTAATCTTATGGCTGTTAATAAATTTATTAGCTCTTTACTATTCCACTTCCTTTTCCTTTGATGCAGTAAAGACAATCATGCAATTCCAGGGTCTGCTCCAATATCTAAATTTATTATTTTGCTAATTTCCTTGAAAATGCTTTCCAAAATCTCATTTTCACATTCCCACCACATAATGGAAGTAAGTACCTACTTTGTGCCCTTGTCTCCAACACACAGGATAATGACACATGCTTATAGTCATTTCCTCGGTGGAAAGAGTCTTCTCTAAAACATATGAAGCTGTATTTTGCTTTCTCCCTGTGCCCTAATTCCTTAATCTCAGGGTGCAGTGGGGTCCCTGCCCTTTCCACTTGCCCCAGTGCTGTCACTGTGCAATATCTGTTGTGGGTGGAAGGGGACAGCACTGGGGAGTGAGAAGATAAAGGCCTTCGAAATCTAAGGAGAGCTACTTGCATCCCATAGATACCGGCCCAGTCAATTAGTTCTGCCTGTTTTCACTGCAGGGTCTTGTGGTAGCTGAAGCAGTAAAACCACTGCAGCTGAAGCAAATGTACATCTTGGGCCATTGGGCACTGAACAATTTTCTGTTACGCCTTTATAGGTGAACGAGAACTTTGCAATTGATTTAATTGCTGAGCAGCAAGTGAATGAAGTGGAAAGTCGAGTCATTTTCTGTGACGGCGGTGGTGGAGCTCTGGGACACCCCAAAGTGTATATAAACTTGGTAATGTAACTGAAATGTTTCTGTGTGGTCCTTTATTGGGCTTCATATCCTATTTGCGGGGGGGGGGAGGGGCATAACATGCCCAACTGAGCTACCCAGTGCAGCCTACTTGGGGTTTATTAAAAATTTGCTGCCTGCTACAGAACTGCAAAAGTAGAGATTGTCAAGCACCTGGGAGATCAAATATACCACTGGGTTGCAGGTGTGCAGACTTGGAAATGGGTGGTTTTAATGACACGTGTACTTGTTAAGGATAGTCTTTCCTCTTCCTTTGTTGGACAGCAGTTCGTTATTACTGTATCGACCAACCTTCTGTCTTGTAAAACTTTATTCTCATTGTTTTGCATTCGGTATTGCTTGTTAGATGAACGGAAAAGTCCTTATATTATTTTATATTTACAGAAGTAAGATAAAATTTTACTTCATTTGCCCCTTTCATTTCATTTCCAGGACAAAGATACGAAAACGGGAACATGTGGTTACTGTGGTCTTCAGTATAAGCAGAAGCATCATCACTGAAATTGTCTCATCATGTCCTTCAGAGCTGTTAGCCTTTTTGTGTTATATTATTAAAATATATTTAAAAGATGATTATGAGTGATGTCTTTTTTTTACTTGTCTTAATGCTGCAGTGTGCTTGGTTCTTGTCAGATTTTTACACTTGAGGATGAAAAAATGCAAAATTAGAACAACAGAACTGAAACTGAAAGGGACCTAATTATGTAGGTCCATTTCATGTCCAGACATTGGCCTCATTTGAATTTAACACTGAACTCTGGTGAATGAGCCTCAGACTTCCACTCTTCTGCTCCTATCTGTGTGAAGATAACAAGCTTAATTTTAATTGTACTTTAGTCTTACTACTGAACCCTAAGTCGTAAATGTGACTCATTGAAAATTTCAAAGGAGTAGCAGCTACAGCACTTTGTTGCAGAAAAACAACAAGTGTAAGGATGAATAAATGTATTCATACAAGTGTTTGCATAGGTACTGTCCACATCAGATGTATAATTTTACTGAAATAAGCCAACTTCAAGCCACGGTTTATTAAACAGGCTTGCAATAAGCTGTAGTTAAGCTCAACTATGTTTTAGGGTGGGTCTCCTGGGCAACATAGGATTGTCCATCAGTACAATTTTTTTTGATAAGTTGTTTTACATTTGAATTTTGGATTACTGTTGACTTGCTTTTCTTGGGAACGGATATTAAAAATAACTTTTCCTCTTGAAGAACGACTGCAAATTGTTATCCTCTCTGCTGCTTTCTGCTTATTTGAGCTGTAGGGGATTTTAAATATTTGATAGGATTATATTTTTAGAGTGCTTTTACAGCATTCTTAATTAGTCTTCACTGCTCTGCATGTTGTAACAGAAATAAGAATTTTATCTTAAACTCGCAGTGCAGGTCCAAAAGGAGCCAGCTGTGATATCAGTTCCACCTTTACAGCATTCGCAGTGCAGAAATAACATAGGCACTGCCGTTAACAATCAGTTTAGCTTCTTGGTGTATGTCTCAACAAGAAATTGGATGCTGTTTAAGTGACCAGATGTCATGATTTGTTGTGTGGGAATTGCTCCAGTGACATTTCATGCATGTTTTTCAGGGGAATACATCTTGTAACTCTTAGCTACCCTATAATCGTAAACCACAAAAGGGCCTTAATTCTGATGCAGTATCTGAATTTTGAATATTTTCTCTCCAAATGTGTAGTTCTATGCACCAAGTTTCATTTGGTTTGTCGGTGCATTATCTCAAGTTAGGTTGGCCATGTTTGCAGAGGGGTAATTACTCAGGGTGGTAAAAACGGATTTCTCCCAAAGGATGTCTCCAAACTTGGGTGCCTGGGCATTAAAATGACAAATGCAGCTCAATGGAAGTGTTAAGTCTGGCTTTGACATTGATTCACTAAAGATGGGATTTAGGATTGTGATACAGGACCGGCCCTATCAGTAGAGGTAGTTGCTTAGGGTGAGATTCAACCTCTAGTCCAGTTGGGGTCTTTGAACATGGAATGAGAAGGGGCATTCTCTTGCCCTTCATCTCGGGCAGCAAACTCAGGCTGTCCCTAGCTTGATGGAATGGTACAGCAGTTAGGAAAAAGGAAATTCTGTGATAGGGAGCAATAGGAAAGCGACCAAAAATAAAACTAACAATCAGAATATGTGTATAAATGCAGCAATTAGAACTGTGTATCTCAAAAGCAATTGTGGAGCTGGAAAAGGTGTGCAATTAAAATGATGAGGAAATGCAGAACCTTCCCTATAAAGAAACTTTACCATGGTAGAGGCTATTTAATCTGGAACTTGGCAATGTCTTTCAATGAAGCTGACTAGATTTAGGGGAGACAGATAATAGTTCACACAGCATGGAATTCACCTGGAATTTATACCAGCAATCTAAGACAGCTTTAGAAAGAGTCATGGAAGGCCTTCTGGAGCAACAGGAATGGTCCACTTCTTGTTCTCCTGGAAATGGTGCTTACAGTTTGTGAGTGATAAAGAGAAGGGATAGGGTGGTATGAAGAGGGAAATGATGTCCTGCAGTGGGACAAACTACCCATGTTTGGCTGCCCACCGTCTGCTGAGGCCCCTGCTTAATTTCCTGTCGCAGCAGCCCTTCATAGAAAAAATCCCCTAATCTTCAGCTGGCCTGAAATCGGTCCCCTTCCTCTGTATAGATTTTATTGGCACAGTAATAGATAGACTTTCACGATTTAGAAAATTCTCTGCCCATTAAAGAATTGAAGAAATTTCGTCTGGCCTCCTTCCAGGTTCTCCAAAGACTTCTATTCCAGAATATTTTTCTCTGCGGGATTTATTCCTCCATCCTGACAAGTACAAAATGGCAAACTCTCACACCCTTCTCTTAACTGCTCTCTCTCTCCCCCCCCCCCCAGATTATATTGTTGTTCCAAAAACAATAGCTGTCCATAGCACAACTTCATTCGCCAATGGGACAAACACAGCTCTGCTTCTGTAGGGCTTTCCTTCCACCAGACACAAATATGGCTAGAATGTTTCTGATATTAAAAGCTGTTGAACTCCATTGCTCAACTTCCCTGCAGTATTTCTAAAAAATGCAGGTGTGGCTCATGGAACCTCATGGAGCCCTTAGGCTGAGGGAGAGGAAGCGTCATACTTGAAGAGAAGTATGGGAAATGATTATTCACAGATATATAAAATAATATGAAAAGTTGGGGAGGAAGTGCAGACATCAAGTGTCTCCCCCCATCTGTTGTTTTTTTAGCCTTCGCACACCAATGGAAAGCAATACATTCAAGTATGTTTGTCCTTAGTGTTCCTCACTTGTAATGGTCGGTATATACCACATGTTATTGATTCAAAAACAACCCTATTAATCACATTTTGCAGAACTTGGGTGGCTTGGTGTCTACACTTTAAGGGGGGGTGGGTTCACATGACATGGCAAACTGCGGCAGTAGAGAAGTGTGGAAACAAGACCATGAACTCTCTTTCTGCTTTTGGGAAACTAACAGTGCCCTGCAGACTGACTTGAGCTGCCGTAACCACACAGATTTGCTTGTTGCGTTGTATGAACCCAGCCACTGACTGGCCCAATATTCTTCCTTTCAGGATAAAAGGAATCCTTTTTGAGGTGGCTGAGAAATAATATTGAGTACTCTTAATGGAATCACAGGAAACAATATTAACATATACCCCTCAACATTAAGCTAGTAAAAGATACATGTTCTTTCATGCCAGATGAAGGCATGAAAACTCCAAGTGGCATTGTCCAGAATTATGGTATGCTAATGACACACAGCTCTATTTCTCCTTTTCGTCTCCAGCAGATGATGATGGGTGCACTAAATTGGTTTTTGACTGAGACACTGGACTGAATGAGGGACTGAATTGATGCTCAGTCCAGACAAGACTAAGACTAGGATGCTCTTGGTGGGTGGTCCCGCTGGCTCAACTTGTTCTGGGTGGGTTGCACTCCCTCTGGAGGAGCACAGTTGTAGCTTGGGTCCTCCTTCAGCTGTCTTTGCTATTTGAGGCTCAGGTGAACTACAGAGAGTACCTTCTACCAACTCTGGCTGGTAGCCCAGCTTCACTCCTATCTGGACAGGGATGCCTTGGTCTGAGTAACCTACACTCTGGTAATCTCTGAGTTTGGCTACTGAAATGCTCTCTAAGTGGGTTAGAGGCCACTTGAGATACAGCAGTTTCTGCAAAAAGCAGCCAACAGGTTAGTAACCAGAAACAATAAGTTTAAACACGTGATACCAACTGGATTGGGTCTCTGTTCGCTTCCAGACCTGATTATAAGTGCTGATTTTAACCTATAAAGCTCTACATGGCTTGGAATGACTGTACTGGTGGAACCCTTCTCCCAGCCACAATCTACCCAGACACGGTGCTCAGCCTCTGGGGCCTTCCTCGAATGCCATGCCTAAGGGATCCTTGGCCGCAACAAAGGTGGCCTGTTTTGTTCCATAATCCGGCAGCTCCACTGAGGTCTGCCTGGAGCGAACTCTTTTGGTGCTAGGCTAAGACTGCCTATGCTAAATCGTTTCACAACTCTTATATTCATTCGTTTATTAACTTTTTAGCCTGTTTCATTAGCCACAAGTGTCCCTGGGTGAGTTACAGACAGAATGAACCGTAGGAACCTGTCTTAGTTGTTTTAAGTTATTTACGAGTGAAATTTTATGATGTTTTCCTGTCGTTTCTGTTTTATACAATGTGTATTTGAGGAATCCGTGTACGCTGCCCAGAGCTTTAGTTATTGGGTGGCATGTGAATAAACAACAAATCTCATATAGATTGATATATGTATGGATACACACCCGGTGATGGCAGATACATGGTCCCTGGAGTTTCCAGTGAAATTGGCCAGTTAGCAGGAATACAAAATGCTTGCTGAAGTCTTGGACCCAGCCTGGAGGGACATCTGAACTCACCGGTGGGAAGAGGGGGCCCTTAGAATCTAAGACTTAGATCATCTGTTTCCCAATTTCCCCCTCATACACACAGTGACCTGCCATTCCGCCCTGGAAGAGGTGGTACCTGGCCCTTATCTCTGACACAAGCTCTGTAAATGAAGCTGCACTGGAAATACAAGTGGGCTGGAACAGAAGAAAGGGAGAAAAGGTGCCGTGAGCAAGAGAAGAGGATTGTACACTGCGGCTCCTTCAACAGCCTCAAGACCAAATGCCAGCCCCCTCCAGTGTTTCTTGGGGACTGGGACTTTTACGCCCCTGCCAATAAGCTTGTAAAGAAGGGGAAGCACGAGAGCAGGGGTGTGGGGAACAAAAGGGATGAGTAATGCCACAGCGGGGAAATGTTGACAGTGACAACTACTATGAATCAGCCGGCAAGGCTCTGGAAGAGCTTGCCTGAGTTGACGAGTGAGCTCTTGGGGGAGAGAAATTACTTCCACCATGAAAGTCGCGATGGCAGGAAGTATGTAGAGTGGGAATGACGGAACCCCTCAAGCCGAACCCGGAGGCCTCGCCTAGCTAAGAGCATCCTCCGTTGAGGGGCTGGCTTTAGTTCCTGAAATCCGTTGGAAGTGAACCTCTGAGAAAACATGGCGCTTGCTGTCGGGTGCTCCCAAACGCCCAGGAC